GCAGAATCCAGAAGGGAACACTTCCCAGACCTAAAACCAAACCAGGCAAAGACAGTCCTGGAAAGAGAACAGAAGAAAGAAAAAAATGGCTGTGGTGATGTAAGTCTGCAAATACAACGCTTGAGCAGCTGAGGCCGGAGGATTACTGCAAGTTTGAGGCCGGCCTCCAGCACAGAGAGACTATCAGGGCATCCAGGAATACATGGGCTCTATCTCACAAAACAAAATAACACCAACAACAGGAGGAACTAGTCAACTAATCTTGGTATAATATACTATAAAACCCGTGGACCAGCCCCACCTCAGCGCCCCACCCTCAGCTTGGGGTTCCCTCCTGTGATGGAGGGGCTCCTGGCCCCCTTTCCTGTTAGCACAGTGCGCGGTTCAGCTGCTTCCGTTCTCTCTTCGGTGCTCACCATTTCCGGCTCGTGCCAGCTGTTGGTATCCTCTTGTCCTGTTGAGACAGACCTTTGTCAAGGGAGCACACAGGTACATGAGGGTACCTCAACTTCTGTGCATCTGGGAGGGACACCTGGCCTGTTGTAGTGGTTTAAATAGAAAATGTCCCCCAAAGGCTCAGGTGTATGAACACTTGGTCCCCCTTTGGTGGCTCTGTTTGGAGCCTTGCTGGAGAAAGCATGTCACCGGAGGCAGCTTCGAGGGTTTGTACTTCCGGTTTACTCTCGGCCGCCTTCTGCGCTTACATGGAGATGTGCTCTCTCAGCTCTCTGCTCCGGCTGCCGGGCCGGCTGCTCACTCCCCACCCTCAGGGACCCTTATCCCTCTGGAACTGTAAGCCCAGATAAGCTTACTTCCAAAGTTGCTTTTGGTCACGGTGTTTTTCTCACAGCAGCAGAAAAGTAACTAATACATCTATTAGCAAGCTTGCAATGTGCCTGTGAAACTCCTGGAAATCTAAATGAAGTTCCCATTCTGACTGGGATGTCTGGGGTGGGGGTGGGGGTGGGCTCAGTTCCACACTCCTGATAAGTGGTACTGCTGGTCTGGAGACTCCACTTGACTGCTCCCCACCCCCAAGGCTTCTTCATTTTCCACTACAGTGAACTGCTTGCTCTCAAACGCCTGTCTGAGGGTCTGCTTCTGGGAGGGTCTTTTTCTGCCTCTTCCTGAATTCCACATTCTTAACAGTAGGAACTGAGGAAGACGCCCTTATCTCCAGAGTGAGGAGTTTAGATGCTTCCCACTCAAACATTCTGAAGAGTGTCTCCTTTCTTGAGATTACGTAGATTATGTAATTTACAGCTCTCTACTTGGGAAGTTTTCTTATTCCGTGCATGATCTTTCAAAATGGTCAGGCTCTGCATACTGTTTGTCCCCAAAAGATATCTCTGGATATAAGTGGACAACTGTGGGGGCTTCCCCCAAATAATAAAATTTTTATAGCAGGGAATTTGAGATAGAAAATGTTCCCACATGCAGATGACATTTCCCTGTGAGAGGGAGAAAAAGACCATTGGGGGGGGAAGAAGAAGTTTCATGCTATTGAGAGGAAAATTAGTGTGACTCCAACAAGAGATGAAACTGTAATCAAGCCACCCAAACCAGAGGTGACAGAGATAAGGAAACACAAGAGTGAGTTTGTATATTCTATCTATTCTTCAGTGAGATATCTCTAGATAGACGTATACAAACACATGTTGTCTCTTTTCAAATCATGTCTTTGGAAAATGTCTTCTTATACCCAAGCTTAAATGTTTATGAAATGTCTAAAGTGGATAAAAACTCAACTATGTGAAAGCACACGATTCAATATCACCATTTTAGTTCTCACTTTTTATTCCAAGGAACACACCTTGGGTCACTTTACTTTAATAAATTTCCCCAAACATCTACAAAAAAAACCCCACTCTGTCATTGCTGTGTAACAAATGAGCCCACATACCAAGTGGCACCCACCCAGAAGCACTAATGTCTCGTTCCTAAGTCTGCTGGTGGCTCTGTTTGAAGGCTGTGGGTTTGGGGGACCACCAGCAAAGTGACTAAAATGTGTGAATCCAGTCAGATGCTAACCAGTCATTAGTGGGGTGTAGACCCTCCTTATGGCAAAAGTCAGATGTTCCTGGCAGTACAAGGTGAAATCTGGTACACTTCTACCTCCCCACTTTCCATCCCCAAACAAGTCACATGACCAAGTCCAACATCAATGAAAACCTCCCATAGAGCTATCAGTAGATGGAGTGAGCACATGCTGAACAGTCACTGAACCCACTAATTTCGAAATGGTGATGGCTGTCATTACAGAGGATAGATAGAAAGGCTTAAGAACTCTCCAGGCACTTTCCAAAGGGGATTATCACACATCATATGGACACAGTCACGTTGCCATTGAATAACTGTATGAGTATGAAAAGGGATCATCTTGGATACAGCAACTTTAACTGGTTTTAAAGTCACTTTAGGAGCCTGGGAATGTGACTCATTTGGTATGGTGTGGGGGCCATAGGTTCACTCTCCCAGCACATCATAAATAGGGAATAGTGACACTTGGCGGTAATCTCATACTGGGAGGTAAGGCAGGAAAGTTCAAATCCAGCCTGAGCTGCACAAGACCCCCTTTTTAAAAGGCATTTTTAATTGCCTCACACCTCTTACAAAACCAAACTTAATGCTTGCCTAACTGAAGACATTCCATTTTTATTTGTGCTCATATAGTCTGAACCTGACCAGATACAAAGGCTCCTAAAGTCTGTCAAGCCAATGCCTCTTTTTTCTCTTTGTTTAAGTATGTATGTGTTTAAAGGGGAAGCAAAATGCCCAGGCTCAGGGCTGGAGAGATGGATCACTGATCTACAGCTGGTATTGCTCTTCCAGAGATTTGGCTCTCAGCCCTGACATCAGGCGGCTCGCCACTGCCTGTGATTCCAGCTCCCAGGTGATCCTGTCCCTCCAAGCCTAGGGGTTCTGAGGACCTGCACTCAGGTGCACACACACACACACACACACACACATACACACACACACACAGGAACATGCATACATACACCTAATTTAAAGTAATACAGATGAAATCTTTAAACCCCCAGGCTCTCCTTTTTTGATGCTCCGAGGCTGGGCGTGGTGGCCAGAGTTCTAACGCTGAAAGCGAAGCACTGTTCCCTGGAGTCAGTGAGGTCCCAAGAAGGACAGGAGGCTTTGGCTTCCAGCCAGCTGGTCCTGATGTCTTAGCTCACCTCTCCAGGTCTCCACCACTTCATCCACAAGTGTGCTCCCCAGGGCAGCCATCCATGGATCCAGGTGCCACATTGCCGTTTCCCTGATAAGAACTGCTTTGTGACCTCCCGCTCCCCTAAGCTCTCTTTCCCCCGACCCTTGCCCTCCATTACCCCCCCACCCCCAGTTTGCTCGTGTAGATCTCATCCATTTCTCTGTCGTTGGGCGATCCCTGTGTCTTTCTTAGGGTCCTCTTTACTAGCTAGCCTCCCTGGAGTTGTGAGTTGTAGTCTGGTTATCCTTTGCTTTCCATCTAGTATCTACTTATGAGTGAGTAAATACCATGTTTGTCTTTCTGAGTCTGGGTTAACAGAGTGGGAGAACAAGGAAAGAGATACCATGATAAATGAAGACCCCATGGGAATAGAAAGAGGCAGAGTGCTAGAGAGGTCCCCAGGAATCCACAAAGATACCTCCACTGTAGACTACTGGCAATGGTCGAGAGAGTGCCTGAGCTGACCTACTCTGGTGATCGGATGCCGAACACCCTAACTGTCGTGATAGAACTCTCATCCAGTGACTGATGGAAGCAGATGCAGAGATCCACATCCAAGCCCCAGGTGGAGCTCCACCAATGGGCGAGAGAGAGGAGGGATTGTATGAGCAAGAGATATGGAGACCATGATTGGAAAAAGCACAGGGACGAATAGCCAAACTAGTGGAAACACATGAACTATGAACCAATAGCTGAGGAGCCCCCAACTGGATCAGGCCCTCTGGATAAGTGAGACAGTTGATTAGCTTGAACTGTTTAGGAGGCCCCCAGGCAGTGGGACCGGGACCTGTCCTTGGTGCATGAGCTGGCTTTTTGGAACCTAGAGCCTATGCTGGGACACTTTGCTCAGCCTGGGTGCAGGGAGGAGGGGACTGGACCTACCTCAACTGAGTGTACCAGGCTGAACTGAATCCCCAGGGGAGACATTGCCTTGGAGGAGGTGGGAATGGGGGGTGGATTGGGGGGAAGGCTGGGGGGTGGGAGGAGGGAGGACAGGGGAATCCGTGGCTGATATGTAAAATTAAATTAATTATAAAATTTTAAAAAAAAAGAACTGCTTTGTAAAGCCCGTGGCTGTTGCTTCTGAGTGCCGGCCTCAAGTGTCCTAGATTCGTCTCCAATGAAGATGCTGAAGAAGGCATCTTTGGGGACTTGTGGGGACCACTGGTAACAATGTGACAGTTTCTGATCTTGTGTTGTCTAGATAAAACTCAAGGGTGTTGCCTTCTCTAGTTGGGTGCTCTGATGTACCCACACACACCAGCTTCCCATGACTTCGTGATTTTCGTTTGTTTGGCAGTGGAATCAATTTCCTAACAAAATGAGTTTTGGAGTCACTTTAATGTCCTAAGAATTAGAAGGTAAAGTTTGAACAAAGGCTTGAAGTGTTGCAATTCCTAGCAGGCAAATAAAAACAAAACAAAGGGCCAACTACTAAACCGACTAAGCAATAAAGCCCAGGAGCCCAGCAAAGGCTCGGCCCTCTCGGGAGAGCATGCAATCCCTCCTCACGCCCTCCTCATGCCCTCCTCTGCCTAGGACTTCAGCCGGTGACCGCTGTCCTGCATTCTAGAGAACACCAGTGCCCTGGTTTCAGAGCTGAGGCAGTGCTCCCGATCTGCCCCGGGAGAGGCCAGCGTCCTCCCTCGCCCTCCTCGCTGCAGTCCCCAGGTGACTCGTGGGACCCTGACCTCTCACCTCCTGAGCACGGGCGCCTGCAGCGGGCGGCGCCCTTTGGAGCGGGGGCGGGCCCCGGGGGAGCGGGATGGCCTGGCGCTGGCCCCCAGCGCTCAGCTCCCTCCACCGCCGCCGCCGGGACGATGGAAGCGACGGTGGCGCCCGGCGAGGTGCTCATGAGCCAGGCCATCCAGCCGGCGCACGCCGACTCCCGCGGGGAGCTGAGCGCCGGGCAGCTGCTCAAGTGGATGGACACCACCGCCTGCCTGGCGGGTAAGCGCGCGGCCCACGCCAGGGCACCGTCGGGCAGGGCGGGTGGCGGCCAGGGTGGCCAGGGCGGCGATGGCGTCTGCGGATCCTGAAAGACAGGAGTCTGGATCTGGGGGTGCCCTAGGCTGGCGTGGAAGCCTGAGATAGCTTGGGAGAAGGAAGCCAAGGGGAAGGGCAACGCTCCCAAAGCTGAGAGCAGGAGAGCTGTGGAGACAGAAGTGATGACTGAGACAGCTACTGACAGCGACCTAGACCCAGTAGTCCTCGGATGTTTACTTCACGGGACTCCCTTCGACACACAAAATAGTGAAGACCCCCTAGAAGACTTTGTTACATAGATTGCTTGTATTTATACTTGACTATATTTAAAATTCTACAGATTGAGTTCATTGGCCAAGTAAAACAGGCTAGAAAAAAGTTCATGCAAGCATGAACTTTTCGCGTGCGTGCGTGCGTGTGTGTGTGTGTGTGTGTGTGTGTGTATGCACACACAGCACGCACATGCGTACTTGCACACGTTAACACATTTTCTTGACAAACAGCTAGATTATTTACTGCAACAACAGAAGTGTTCTTACAGGACTGGTCACAGTTCATGCTTTCTCGAGTGAGCTAAATGTTTCCTCAGTGCAAGACGGCTCCTTTACCAGATTCCCTTCTCTGTTCTGTCAACTATTAGGCGGTCAGGGAACTCTTGACAATATTCTTGAGAGAGGATGAGAGCGAACACAGCAAGCAGAAGGTCTGGGGGTGTAGTCTAGTTGTGAAGGGCTTGTCCGGCTTGCATGAAGCCCTTGAGTTCCATCCCCAGCACCGGGAGTGAGGGTGGTGATAAAAACATCTACTGCGGACCTAATGATGTCTCCATGCCACCCCCAAAGTTTGTATTTTGGAAGTGACAATTGAGTGAGTAATCAGAGTTAGCAAGATGATAAGGGCATATCCTGATCCCACAGGACCATGTCTTGGAGCTTAGAACATGTGAGGCTACAGCAAGAGCCATCTGCAAATCAGGAAGAGAGCTCTTGCCATTCTGAAGTGACAGGTATGGACCCTATAGCCTTCAGAAGTGTGAGGAACTAAATGTCTATTGTCCAGTCCACCCAGTTCGTAGTCTCATGTGATGATCACCCCAGGAAAGGCAGCCTCTCACCATTGCTACACTTAGGCTCTGACTTTGATTTCCTTACACCGAGGGATGGAAACTCTGCTTTTGAAAACACTGGGTTATAATAGAAATGGGTTTTCTAACTGAGAGCCTTCAAAAGTAACTGTTGAGCAGTACTTTTGAAACTATACACATGCTGACTTCTCTCATCTTCAGACCAGTGCTAGATACAGTCTTGGATACAAGTCAGTCTTACTGTGCTCCCTTCTGAGGAAATGCCTTTGGTGTCCTAGTCCCATCGTGCTTCCCTGGAATCTGTTATCTATACACAGTGAACTTTAAGTCCATGAATCATATCACCTCCCCCAGCTTAGGACCGCTCAGATTTTCCCATCATCCTTGAAGTAAAACCCAAACTTTCTTCATTCTTTACAGATGCTTTTTGCAGCTGAAAACTCATTCTCTGAGGGGCCAGACAGACAGATATGAATTGATTCTGAACCTAGCTCAGAACATCAGACTGATTAGCTATGGGATGTTCTGACAGAGGGCATTGACATTAAGAATAAGTGTAACATTTTGTTTCCCATACAATGTAGCATGGTAACCGTCTCCCCTCCAGACTGTCTGATACCAGCAATGACAGCCTTCTGGCATTTTCCCAGTATGTACAAAGCTTCTCTCTCTAAGGAACTTCACACCTGCTCTTTTCTTGGCCATTTCCATGCCTTGACCCTCAGCTTCAGCATCCTTTTCCCATTTCCCCAGAGTCCCTAAGTCGCTTAAGTCAAGCCCCTGTGCTGAACCTCCATTACCACAGCCTAGTCCCAGCTCTGGGGAAATGTGTGTTCAGATGACAAAGTAGACCTGGAGCGGGAGGGGCTTTACATGCCTTATGTTCTAGTCACATCCCTTAAGCTGCGTGTGGCAGAAGTAAAGCTCAGAATACTATAGACCCACTTTTCTTGATATAGTAACACAGTACCAACCCATGCGTGTTAGCCACCTGTAAAACTCAGCTATATTTTCAATGACAATTCATTTGTTTTATTTGCTGATTTGTTTGGTTTCTGTCTTAACCGTTTCTAGCAAGATTTGAATTGGATTACAATGTAACAAGGAATCAGAAATAATGAAGTTTACCCACATGTAAACGAAAGAAACAAGTATAGACAGGATTGGCATTGCTGATACTAATGATGCCTATTTCCAAGGCAACTAAATGTAATTGGCATAAAAGTTTCTAGTTTGACCTTTTTGGAGACTTGGACCATAGAAAGACTGTAGACGATCAATTTACACTAGACTTTAGTAATTATATTGCTATTGGTGCCTTCATAACTGGTAATGTTAATATTACAAATGCTAAAGAATCCTTATGATAAAGTTGGCTTGTGAAATACAGATAATGGCCATGTTGAACCCTCTATGGAAATGAGAGACACCACACAAAAGGGGACATTACTCAGGTAAGATGTGAACGAATCTGAAGAATAACACAAAAGCCAATTTTTTAGCTTTGTTTCAACCAGAGTTCCCTTGACCAGTGCTCTGTATAGTTATGTTTCCTAAGGTAAATAATGACGATAGTCATGTCCCAAGACACGGCTGTAACCCTCAAGCACTGCTGGGTTCCAACACAACTTCTCAATATTTAAAGAAAAATGGAACAGCTCCAATCACCTTAGCATTCGGCCCCCTAGCTGTGGGTGGGCCCTCCTCTTTCAGCCCTTCAAACCCGAAGCCTGAAACCATCTCTGAGTCATCCTGCGCCCCATGTCCGGTTCTGTTTTTGAACTCTCTCAAGACCACAATTCCTCTCCATGTCATCCGTGAATCTTTCTGAATGTTCACTTCTAAAGAGTGTCACCACACTCATCCAACCGTGTGGTCAGAAATCTGGGACTGAGCCCTGACATGCTATCTACGTTGCTTCCTTCTCCACACATTCAATAGATAATAACCCTTTCCTTTTTGGGTGTACTGACGCTTCCTTCTGGAGGAATCGCTTTAGCCCAGCTCCGTGCTGAGCCTCCACACCACTACCTAGACCCAGCCCCACCACCCTGCGTTGTGGGCTTCAGAGGGCTCTCAAACTGTTTCCTTTATCCTGGTCTCATCTTCATAATGCATCTAAAGGACATCCAGAAATAGCTGATCTCATCATGTCAGATTTTTTTTTTTGTCTTTACCCTTCGTCTCTTCACTAAAAGGCTAAAAGGGTTTTTCCTATCAGAAAGCCTTTCCCTATAGATAACAACTATTAACTTTGGACAAAACAGCAAATTAAGGAAGATTAAGGCAGTTGAGAAGTGAACGGAAGTGTTTGGAACACTTGAAAGTTACACTCGAAGAGAATGGTAATGGTCCAACTTTTCTTTTTTCTTAAATCTTTTTTATTTAGTTTTATGAGGTGTGTGTGTGTGTGTGTGTATCGTGTGTGGGTGGGATGTTTAATGATATTACAGATGGGAGAGCACTCCACCAATTCTCTCCCAGTTAAATTTTTAGTTAGAAATCTACAGGTTTGTCAGTTTGGACATCCAAAGGACACTGTTGGAGGAAAGCACATCCACACTGGAGTGTGAGGAGAGATGTTTTCAGAAAAGAGAAAGTCAGGGAGGCAAAGCACCCTGATTGTAACCCTTGACCAGGTATCTGGCACACTTGGAATTCTGTGTGTATGGGACAAACTCCAAAACTCTAGTAAAGACCAAAGAAAGTGAAGGAGCCTCTCCACCTCTAAAGAGACAGGGTTCATAGTTTGGACTTAGTAAACAGAACTGCTTGCTTTTTCAAGAAAACACCAAAAGCAAAACTGATCCTTTTCAAAGAGCTCATCGGAACCCACTGTTTCAACAACAAATCATCAAAGGCTCGGAGATCATAAAAAAAACACTTACACACAAATAAGCAGGCAAACATGACTCATTCTTCAAAGATGATCAATAAATACCAACCTATAGATGACATGGATGCTAGAATTAAAGTTCAAGGACTTAATGTAGCTATTGTAGTTGTACTCAAAGAAATCGATAATATTGTAAAGAGCAAAAAAGGCAATAAACCTCAAAAAGAGAAATAGAGATTGTTTTATGAGGGCAACATGGAAACTCAATAGCTTAAAACAATAACATCTAAATTTAAAATATACTAGATATATAGCCTTAACTACAGAATGAAGATGGCTGAGAAAAAAGTTAGCAAGTGTAAAAAATATATCAATATAAATTATCTAATTTTGCAAACAAAAAAAATGAGGTTATGGTCCAATGCTATAGCACACTTGCCTAGCATGCATAAAGTCAGAATTAAATCCCCAACATTACACATGCACACACAAAGTCTCACACAATCATGAAAACAAAAAACAAAATATAAAGTCCCCCAAAGGAGAAAGTAAGAGGAACTCACCCTATTCAGAAAATAATGGCTTTAAGTTCCCCCAAACATGCTGAAAAGCATACAGTTAAATTCAAGAATCCATAGAACACCAAACAAGATTAATTTAAAAATTATCATATGTAGGCATATTATAATCAGATATGTTTAAGAGGGTCTCAAAAGCAGCCAGAAAGGCTGTACTCAGTGTAGGAGAACAGTGATTAAAATTACCACTGACCTCATTGGTAACAGCAGAGACCTGGTTGGACCAAGTGCGTTAGAGTTTACAACCAAATGTCAGAGGCAAAACGACAATGAACAATATCTAACAATAACAGTTCTAAAACAATGACAAGCAAGGGCCTCCAGGCCCTTCCCTCCAGCTCCATCTCAGCCCTCCTCCTCGCTGACTCCATTCTCACCACAGAAGCCTTCCTCACGCTCACTGGAATCACCGTTCTGTCTGCTCAGCAACCTTCTTCCTTTCCACTTTTCTCTCATATCTATTCCACTCCAGCTCATCCTTCAAAAACCCTCTCTCTGGACACCTTTGCGGATTCTATAATTGCTCAGCTAGTCTGCTTCCAAATTTCCCTAGGAAATCAATAATAGCTCTCAGCTTTTCTACCGTATGAAAGTATGAAGGGCAATCAACACGTAAGGACCAGGACAATCCGGTCCTTTTGAATTCATATCATCTACCCGGCACACTTGTGAAATGAAGACAAGACCATATACAATCATGTGCAAGAGTGAGGGACCTTATGTCGACCTCTCCTATTTTTGTCTTTTCTTTTTTATTGGTCCCTGCAAGTTTGTAGTAGAAAGTATAGCTGTTGGGGTCCACATTCAGGGAGGCACGCTGAGAGTTTTCTCAGCTTCATCAACCCAATTCTCTTCTATAATTCTTATTTCTTGTAATCAAAAAAAAAAACCCACTAGAACAATCATTTGAATCTTCCTAGGATTGGATGTCCTCATTTAAAGATGGAGCCAGTGATAGGACTCGCCTCCATGCTTGGTGCATGGCCAGTGAGAAATGCTTAGTAAGTGTTGTTACCTGCTGCTGAGTCTCCCTGGTCCCTCCTACAGTCTAGCACTGTGCTTTGTAAGCACAGCCCTCACCCAGAAAATGCAATACAGCTCTTACTGGTTGCTCCTTTTAAATTATTTCAACCACTCAAAGTTGGCAAATCACATTGGTGCGTGTACATAACCATACTTTATTAATAAGAACACTTTAAGTTAACAGCCTGTCTCTTCATGGACTGAGTGTCTACTAGGCATGCTTTTGTCAATGTTTTGTAGCTTGTTTTTGAGAACATTTAGTACTTCTCTGGAAAATGTCAGATGGACTCAGAATGGATCTGTGATGGTCCCTGAGCAGATAGGTAAAAAAAAAAAAAAAAATGACACTGATCCTGCTCAACACCTGGAAATCAGCCAAGCATGCCTCATGCTTGCCACACCGGCTTCAGCTGAGCCCACCCTGAGCAGGCCTAGAGTTGGACACCTCCGTATCCCCATCTTTTTGCTGGATTGTTTTGTAACTAACAAGCCTCTTTCCTGCCCATTGCTCTCACAGAGTTCCAAAGTGGTTCATTTTTCATCTCTCTTTACCTGAGATGATCAATTAATACTTACATTGTAATCCATTATGTAAGAATTTGGGGGTGGCGGGGATCAGAGTCTGGAGGTCAGCTTGGGCTGCAAAGTGAGTTCCTGGCCAACATATATGTTAGCTGTCTCAAAAAAAAGGTCGATGAAAATCTGTTTGGATTTTGACAGAATGCCTCTCAAAAACAAAGCTGGGAGAAACATACATCAAAATCTTTTCCAATAGCATAAATTCTGGTATTTTTATGTTAAGCAAAACCAATAATCAAAACAATTCTGGACAAATTAAGTGCAGACATGGGCCACGGAAAATGATGAGCTCCTCTTCGCCATCACCCCACCCCTTAGCCACACTCTCCTACAACCTTGTAATGCATGAAGAATTGGTGTCAGTTTGGTAATAATAAATGATGAGCACAGTTAAAGTTCAAATTAGATATTCCTAAGTTAAAATTCAGGAGAAAGTACAGTAATCATCACACAATACAGAGCACAGGCCTGCTTGTAAATACAGATCATCCTGAATATATGAGCACTGTAACGAGTGAGGGGATGTGTTCCTAAAACAAATCTACTTCAATGTGTTCCTTTTTCCCTTTGCTAAAACATTTAATCACAGCCACTAATATGGCATACTTTCACTCGTTTTTTGAAGCTGAAAAACATGCCGGGATCTCGTGCGTCACAGCCTCCATGGATGACATTCTGTTTGAGGACACAGCTAGGTAAGGAGTGTTGCTCTTTCCACTTCCTGGGGATTTTCTGGTTCATTTACAGTACATGTTTATTGCACCTTGTTCATTTGGAGCCAATGATCGAGTTTCTTAGAAAACAAGAGGCACTGGACCCTCTCTAAATCAGCTAAAAAAAAATGTCCCGGCTTCCACTTGTCCTCACCTTTCTCAGTACAAATCCAGTCTCAGTTTTGCTAAGTCACTGTCAGCATGAGAGGCATTGTAGTGCCGTGCATGGCAAGCTTTCTATCATCTCGTCTGTAATGGCTCTTTCTCCCGCATGACAGATGATAATAAGGATCTCTGTGTTGGTGCGGTACAAACACTAACTCCTGTGTGTACATAAAGTAAGTTTTAAGGAACATTCTATATGTGAGAGTGTTTGTATGCTTTAGCAGCCCTTCAAGAGAGAACTTCAAGTCAGACAGTAAAACTAGAAAGACTAGTGTGGTGTATCATAGGAACTCATCGCTAACCTGTAAGAAGCATCAGCTCATATCTGTCCTTAGTCCTTTGTGGTCTTTCCCATCTGGGAATTATTCTGAAGCAATACCAGTCACGATTTGTAAATAATTCAGTAAATACTCATAAATACCAAGGTCCCTCTTAAAAACATCACATAGCCACAACCACTGCATTTGAAGTTACTGAAAGAACTCTCTTCCAGATGGGTTAAACTACCATGTGGACAGAGTCCAGTCCAGCTGCTTTCTGTGTTTGAAGATGGCATTTTAATTTTGTTGGATCTGATTGCTGTTTAAAACATTTACAAGCAGTAAGCTCAAATGTGGGGAAAGCATTTCACTCTGGGAAACTTAGTTTCTATCTCACTGCTTCTTAGGCTCCCTCCTCTCTCTTAAGTATCTACCTTTTTATCTGAGAATTACCCCTTTACATTAAAATATAAGTGAGAATTTATCCATATTCCTTAAAAAAGAAATTCCAATATGTGGTGTCACTTTCTCCACCTGTTCCATGTAAGAGTCCACCCATAAAACCATGCCAGTGCAATGCACACAGCTGTTATTATGTTTACAGATACTTTCGTATTCACTGTAGAGCTCCCTAATTCAATTGGTCATCATTACTAAACACTGAATTGCTTTTGCTATCACAGATATTAAATATATGGATTTATGTGGGGTGTATTCATATTTTTGCTAGTGTATTTTGGGCCTGGATCCCTGAAAACAGAGCTGCTTGATCAAAATGCAAATGCATAGGCCATTTTAGTCAACATTGCCTAAGTCCTCACTCTGAAGGGTTTTGTATGACTTTTATTGCTTTCTAGATTAGTTAGATGAATCTAAACATTAAGAAAAGCATTACTAAAATACTGATTTTTTTCAGACTTCCAACACAAGAATTACTTGTTTAAAGACATATATCTATGTACATAATGTAAATTCCTTCCTTTACTTCTTGTTTTCTGGCCTGGATTGTTACAGATTATGAGAGACACAGTATATAGGGCCTCAGTAGGTGCACAAAGTGATTTAGTAGATATGGCCACTCTTCCAGGAAAACCAAGTGACTTACCTCATAGACTATCTATCCTTAATGTATCTGAATGAGCCTCTCCGCTGTGGTTAAAGCAGAGCTAATTGCTAGCCTTTCTAGGAGCCCAAATACGACCATGTTTCCATGGCTTTGACTTTGAACTCAGATAAGACCAGGGTTTGAACTCTGGCCCAGCTAGCTGCTGGCTATATCATCGTTTAAGCCCAATTTCTGTTGAGAGTAAAACGAGAATCATCGTGTTAACCTCACAGGTTTATTGCTGGGTGAGTGGCATGCTGTTCGCTATGACTCAAAGCAACTTGGCATGCTGCCTTGGTTCGTGCACAGCATTCATTTTGTCACTGATGTGACCACACTGAGGAACAGCACTTCGTTTAATGACAAAGGCTTCTGTTGTGAAGTTTCAGCCGTTCCTTTGTATGCCTGTGGACTTGCTGTGTTTCCATACCTGTGCCCCCAAGTAAACCTTGCTTCATCAAGCTCAGCAGCCCTGACTCACTGACTACACCTTAGTTCCAGCAGCTCCACTAGTCAAAATTCAGTGAGCAGTGTGAGTTAGAAAGACCAGTGACTCTTCAAGGAAGGTTGGATATGCAAAGAAACTCGAAAGAAAGATTTCAGAAGGAGAAACCTTCAATATTTTTATAGCCTGGAAAAGTCGGGCAAAAGTGAGAGGTGGAGGGTTGAGAGAGGAAAGGGTTAACAACACAGCCCGGATGGAGAGGAGGTGATGGGGTGGGGTAGAGCCAAGGTGATGGGGTGGGGTAGAGAGGGAGCCATGACGAAGTAGTCAAATAGAGTCAGCTGGGATGGGGGAACAAAAGGAGCCTACGTTGGGCAGATCTTAATTTCCACTAAGATGAAGGGATCAGTGACCCAAAGTCTTGACCTCCAAGTTTTCAGAGTTCTAATAGCAGTGTGGGGTGGGTGGACTGAGGAGCAGCTCAGAGGGCCCACATCTACCTAGCAAGCTCACTGATGGCCTGGCCTGTTTCTTTACGTTTGCTGGTCTGTTTGTTTATTAGCTCAAGTTTCAAAGCAAGCATCAGTGATACAGGTCTACCTGTGTGCTTGTCTGAATTTCCTATGGGCAACAGCGGCTATACAAAAAAGTATCTATTGTGGAAAGGGTCACCTTGTACACTGTCCTTGCAAAAGCTCCTTTCTGATTAACAAGGGAGTCTGTTAACATTATGAGCGTGATTTAAATGGTTAACATCTATCCTGAAGGCCTATCTTTGCCATTAGCTTCAACCTGAGTTTTCCATATGTGAGCATTATCAGCAGGTTCAGGTGGAATTGCTTTATGCCACAGGTATCTACTAAGTTGAAAATGAAATGTGCTACGATTGATGAGACCGTTCTTTCTTCTTAAAAACAGAATTGGACAAATTATTACCATCCGAGCAAAAGTGACTCGAGCGTTCAGCACGAGCATGGAGGTGAGTGGCCCTTTCCTCGGGGCCGCCTGTTGGAGGACGCGTCTTCACGGCTTTCAGAGCGCCAAGGAGGATGCTTAGAGCATGCTTACAGCTGATAGGATCCTGAATCTCAGAAAGCCTTAAATCTGTAGTCAGACACGCGGGTGAAGGCTGAGGAGCTGATGCCCCCCACTTAACCCTGCCACTCACATTCAGTGTGACACCGTGTTCTACAGAAGGTCACACGCAAAGTGAACGTGCAAGAGGGGAGGGGCTTCCTTTTGCGTTTTGCGAACTATAGATTCTGTTTCTTACTTCTTCTTACAATACTATTACCCAAACTGTTTGTCTCCATCTCCTTACACCCCCGCCCCCTGCAGGGCAAACTAGCCAATACAACTGCAAGGGGCAATTGGTGCCTCTTGCAGGGCGAAATCTCCTGTGGGCTCTATGGGTGTCTCAGGCTTGGTGAGGCCTGCCTAGAGAGAACTCGGACGGTTCCCAGCAGTGTGGGAGATCTGGAGATATTCACTTCACAGCTCCCTGGTGCGAAGCGGTTTCCTCTGAAGTTATTCATGCTGTGCATGCTCAGATTGGTATCAAGTCATAGACCCACGGAGACCACATGCACATTTCCAGAATTTTCTCTGTATGTAGATATCTCTTTTCTGGGACCCTGCCCGACAAATTCCAGATCCCTTGTCTATTTGCTCTCTGCTTCTTCAACACAGCAGAGGTGAGTTCCCCTTCCCCGACTGTCATCTGTGAATTACCTTCAGGATGAGAGGAAATGAGACGTTCCCTTCATTTGTTTTCCTACCCTGGGGCATCACAACCCTTGTCACCGGTTTCCCATCTGTAGAAATGGTCACTTCCTGTACCTTATCTAGTTTTCTACTTCTTTTCAGAGAGTGGAATTCCATCTCACCTACTCTGCCCTAACATAGTGAATTCCCCTTGCCATGTCTCCGAGACACTTGTTCATCACACATACCTCAGTCAACTGTCCTGGTAGCTGATAATGTCTGAACTTTAACACTCCAGAGTTGTAGCTAGGCTTTTCTTGTTTGATGTTTTAGTTTATTCTTCCTTGTGTATTTCTCTGACATGAAAATCCATGTGGCTGAGGGTTGTTTATAGACGTGAAGAATGATTGGTTTGTGTCTGATTCATTAACATCCAGTTGACTTGAGATTTACCATGCAAATACAAGTTTCTGTTTTCAATTAAGTGACTTAAAGTGGGTCATGGGTTATTGATTTTTTTTTTTTTTTTTTTTTTTTTGGTTTTTCGAGACAGGGTTTCTCTGTGTAGCTTTGCGCCTTTCCTGGAACTCGCTTTGGAGACCAGGCTGGCCTCGAACTCACAGAGATCCGCCTGGCTCTGCCTCCCGAGTGCTGGGATTAAAGGCGTGCGCCACCACCGCCCGGCTATTGATTATTTTTGTACATGGTGTTCCTGGCGAGGATGTAGAAATATGTGTACTTTATCATTCATTACTCAGTGCTGAACTGAGATGTCCCAGGTTGTCCATTATTCTCAGAAGATAGTATTGCTTATCTGGGTGAGATATGCGAGAGCGTTTATTAGTCCAAATCTAGAGACCTTTTTCTGTGGCGTGCAAGTCTGCAGAGCTAGCTTCAGGACTCCTCACACGGAGGGAGAGTCACCCCCGGCAGAGTCCTTACAAAATGCCTTAGTCACTTGCTGACTGCTCCAGAAAAAAACCAAACCAAGGAAACCAAGCCGCAGCTAACAGCAATTCCGACCTGTTATTGTGGGGTATAAAATGTAGCAACTAAAGGTTAAAAACAGTGATAGTTTCTCTCACGGTAGGCTGTCTTGCCCTTGAGAGAGAGTTCACTCAAATATGATTTTCAAATGTTTATTGAAGCAAGGCAAACTTTTAAGAATTAGAGTGTAGAGCTTCAAATGCAACATGATAAATTTATAATGTATGTAAACATTGATGCGTACCTTGTATATACATTTATAAAACACATATGTAATATTGCATGTATGTATGTAATATTACATTGTATACATGTAATAGAGCATATGTGTAACAGGAAGAAATTAACCTAAAAGTTAGTTAAGTATTTCCTCTGGGTAATGGGCTGATATAATGTATTCTAGATAGCTAGATCCCAGCTATTTTTCATGGTAAGTGTGTGTATTCCCACATTCGGAAGAGTTTCATTTGTCATAGTATAGAGCTCATCACTGAAGAAATAGCATCACTGAAAGATAAACTAAAATGCCGATGTCACTTAAAAACTGGAAGGCAGGGTGGAGAAGTATGCAACTGCATTTTGCACGTTGCAATTGAATCTCTTATCTGGGTGACTGACGGTTTGTTTTTCTTTCCTTCAGATCAGTATCAAGGTCATAGTACAGGACAAGTTCACCGGCGCTGAGAAGCTCCTCTGTGTGGCTTTCTCTACGTTTGTGGCTAAACCAGTTGGAAAAGAAAAGGTAAATTTCCCACGTGAACAGATACCCTTCTTGTAAGCCAGGGACATAGGAATAACTGCTTCCTAATTATTTTTTTCCTTATTGTAAGACTCACGTCCTCAATATTTTTTTATTCATTGATATTTATTGGTATTATTCTGTGGTTACATCATAGAACTGAAGAGGAACATCTTTTGAGAGTAATATCTTAAAGGGAAAAACGTACCAGCTTTATGAAGGAGAAAAACAGTGTTTTAAATTATCCAAAAGTTATATCTACTTCTTAAAAATATTGCTTACTGGATTAGTTCTTTTTTTGGTTATGAAGTTCAAAATTAAGTTGGACTTTTTCTCTTTTTTTAAGCAGGAAAAATTCGGCAAGTAGTTGAAAGTCATGGTCCAATCATTTTTTAGACCTTCAGGAAAGTATCAAAGTTGCTGAGTTAGTAAAATTTAAAAATAAACTTCAGGGCATCTGGGCTGAAAACATCCTTGAAAGGAATATTGTGTCCTTGTACGTTGCTCAGCTCCCACCCAGCCAGAGCCTAGCTCTACCTCAACGTAGGATGCCAAGATTTCCTCCAGGTTGCTTCTATTTCAGACCTAGGGGAACTCGACACACTTGAAAACTATAATAATTCAAATTATAATGCGAGTGTGTCACTCAAGAATGATTAAAGAAGCAGGTGAAGGTGGCTTCTCCTAATCACTTGCCAATGACGAGGCCTACTGCTCACTCTTCCCTGGTGCCTGTGATCTTTCCCATAACGGTCACACAGCTATGCCAACACAGCTTGGACAAAGTCATGCTCCACTGCAGCCAGCCAAGGGGACCACTGAGCCATGCTTTACAGCTGCTCCAAGCCTAGGCTGATGGCACAGCTGGGCTAGATCACCACCATGCTTGGCTGGCAGGTGACCCCACAGAATTTTGGTACCTGTAATTCTGTAATATAGGCCTCATATTATAAATGTGCCTCAGGCCAATCCCCATTGCTGAGGGGATACTTTCCAAACTGAAGTGCACATCTATCTGCTAATTACATTATCGAGACAATGAAAATGCTGCTTCCTGGGACATAAGTTGGACCTTGTAAGTCATTGATAAAGCATCACAGAGACCCTGTGTTCATGAAAATCTAAGCAGTGAGAGAGGTCTTGTCAGCCTTTAGATTCTTCTTGATTCTCTCGAAAATCTTTAAACTTTTCAGAATGAGAGTGTCATGGGGTGGGTACAGAGTTCCCACACTTGACAGCAAATGACAGGATGGAGAATCCATCACCATCCTTTGCTTCACATGAAAGAAGAGGCCATATTTTCCCCCTCCAGCCTCATACTTCTCATTCTAGATTTAAGAATAAGTGGAATAGGTACATGTTGGCACACCTCAATCCCATCTCTACAGAGACAAGAACTGGCTTCCAGGAGCCACTCTGGGAAGCCAGCTACCTTATGGTGTTATGACAACTAGCTACTTCAGTCAACATAAATGGGAAAGCATCTTTCCCAGATCAACTCATTTTCTAGTTGGTACCTTCTTATTTGATAGCACATTATGTGGAGAGGCATGAAAGGCTGTAGTTTGGTTTGAACCACAAGAAATACCAGACTCTATCCCAAGTGAGTTCATTCCAGGACAAAACTGGCAATGATTAACAAGATTTGGTTCAACAGTTGCACAGAGCAAGTAATTAGAAGGGCCCACAAAACTATACTGTGTAAAAGTGAGGCAGCAGAAGGATGGCCTGTGACCTTCAGAGGGCATCAGCTTCTAGGCAGCGCTTGCTCTCAAGTTTATTTTTAGGCACACAAAATGTACTTCATGGACTAGGAATCATCATGTCAGATGCAAGGGTCTTCTTTTCAGAGGAGGCAAGGTACAAATTTCCCAGGCTACCTAATATATTCTGCTGATCATGCAACCAAAATGTGACATTGCAGAGAGTCTCTGTCAATCTACATATTCCTGACAAATGGGACAGGCAACCCAGGGAGCCTTGGACTTTAAACAGCACATTACAAGTCACTAGATTTTTCACCTTTATCTGGGTAAAGGGTCAGGTTCAGACCGGAAGTATCTTGGAGCTGCCAAGACCTTTCACACACAGAACCAGCACATGGGCATCTGTAGGGGAGCTGGAGCCTGGACATTGCATCCCAGGATTCGGGAGGGCAGCTGAAGCGTTACACTGACATATTGATTTTTTCAGTTTACCTAGTAGACACTGTTTTGACCATGTGATGAAATATCCAAATCAGGAATATCTCTCGATATAAGATGTTTTCTCTAGAAGGACTTTATTACCTCCCCTTGATATCTTAATTTAAAAAAAAGGAAAAATTATCAACATAAATTCAGTGGAATTATAGTCCCACACCTTATTCATTGATTTCATATTTTATAGAATTTACACATATATTAATTTTTATTGAAAATAGATTTTTGTCTCCGACAATATATCCTGACCACAGTTTCCCCTCCCTCTGCTGCTCCAAGCTCCCCACACCTGTCCTATACTCCATATCCACTCCCCCTCCATTTCCTCTTCAGAAAAGAGCAGGCCTTCAAGAGACAACAGCCAAACAGGACAAAACATGATGCAATAAGACAAGGCAAAAGCCCTCCTAGATTCTATGATCCCACAGAAAACTTATAAAATGAGAAAAATAAACAAGGATGGCTTTCAAATGAGAAATAACAAAACCTATTTTGATATTTTTTTTTTAAAGATTTATTTATTTATAATGTATACAATGTTCTGCCTGCGTGTACACCTGCAGGCCAGAAGAGGGCACCAGATCTCATTATTGATGGTTGTGAGCCACCATGTGGTTGCTGGAAATTGAACTCAGGACCTCAGGAAGAAGAGCCAGTGCTCTTAACCTCTGAGCCATCTCTCCAGCCCCTATTTTGATCTTTTAATTGAAAACATTTGAAGACAAATTTTCACCAGAATGTTTCCTGGAAACACCCATAAATAGTCTATTTACTTGAGTTAAAAAAACCATATGGAGAGCCGGGCGGTGGTGGCGCACGCCTTTAATCCCAGCACTCGGGAGGCAGAGCCAGGCGGATCTCTGTGAGTTCGAGGCCAGCCTGGGCTACCAAGTGAGTCCCAGGAAAGGCGCAAAGCTACACAGAGAAACCCTGTCTCGAAAAACCAAAAAAAAAAAAAAAAAAGCCATATGGTATGTCGTCTGCTTTTGCAGAATTCACACTGGGCATCTATAATTTAAGGAAGCAGTGTAAGATAAATCCGAAGATAAACTTTCTCCCTCCAGGTCCATTTAAAACCGGTCCCGCTTCAGACGGAGCAAGACCAAGTACAGCACAGTCTGGCGTCGGAGAGAAGGAGAGTTCGCCTACAGCATGAGAATACCTTCAACAACATCATGAAGGAAAGCGGCAGGTTCGATGGTGGGTGCGTCTACACAGAGGAACTTTCTATGGCATGGTGCAGGAAGGTGCTTTCTTAGAGCACATGCTTTCACAATGCAGCTTGGATGAGGCTAGACCTGTTTCCTGACAGACCCAGGCAGTAGGGAAGAAAAGGACTGGGCTGGAATTGCTCTGGAGGAGAGAGTGGGAGACAAGAGATGAGGTCTTGGTGGTTATTAGCCAGCAAGCCCTTAGCAGCATGGGGGATGAAGGGATGGTGACCAGGACACATTGATACGGAACTTCCCAGATCACTAAGCATTTTCTCAACCAGGACTTCATAGTCATTCACATTCACATTCACAGTCATATACCTTCTCAACACAGAAGGAAACTCCAAGCAGGAAGAAGCCTGCTGGAGGACCCCTACAATAAGAAAGGAAGGGAAAGCGTTCATTAATATTTCCTAGTGCTTCCCACACCCACAGTGTTTTACCGCAGTGGTTTCCTGAGCTCTTTGATGTCATAGTTCCCCTTCCGAGTCTTTGGTCTTTCTCTTTATTTGACTCCATCTTGAAAACCCCAAGAGAGACCACAGTAGGATAGAGGAGATGGAGTGAGCCAGCCCAGGGAGCTGGAGAAGCCGACAGACGCTCCAACTCCCCTGACTCTGAAGGAGAGCATGGAAAAGGGGAAAAGGAAGAAGAGGACGGGAGTAGATCAAGATAGAATGGGGAGAAGGGAGAGGACAAGGACACATGCAAAGGCCAGAGATAAGAAGAGGAGATAGCATGTCAGAAGTATGGAGGCCTCGTGCTGACCAAGAGGCATTATCAGGGTCATGGGACAACCCCACAGAAGCCCACTGGATATGAGAGAAAATGTCCAAGATTTCTGCCTTGAGAGGATGGTTCTAGTTCAGTCTTCAGGACCCTCCAGGTCGATGGCATTGTTTACCAGAACAGAAAATCTTGATCACGACTCAAGGCTGATCAGGATGGTTGGTATGGTCATTATTGAAGTAGAAGTTGACTTTAGGAAAAAGAGCATTCATGTTGATGTTGTACTTCACAGTTCCTGAATATTGGTATGATGTGATGACCTCATAAAGGGCAATGTCCACTATCAGTTACGGAAGTAGAGACTTCATCATTAAATTTACAATGCTTTGAAGAGTCTCTTTTAAAAGATGGTCTTGATTCTAAGATGCGTTTAGATGCATTTTTCCTAAAGACTGAAGTCACTGAACCATGATAATATTCCTAAGGCAGACCAGGCAACTACTAATAAAAAACAAAACCAAAAGGCCATCAGCCCAAGTCCACCTTGTTGTCTTCTCACCACAAAACTCCAGGAAGGAAATGGGATGACAAAGTCCCTCACATCTGCTTCAGTCTTAACTCAGGGAAATGCCAGTCGTTAATGTGGCTCTTAATGAGTCTGTGCAGTTACCCAGCCTTCACTGGCCTTCCTTTTTACATAATCATTTTCTTCAAAAAAATGCTTCTGTCCTTACTGCGGTTACAGCACCTGAGTTTTTAAGGGGAATGTAGGAATAAGTCACCGAAGAGTCACAAGGTTCTTTGGTAATTTCAGAAGGAAGTTCTGACATCTGTGTGTATTTATCCCGAATCTTGCGAGAACATGCTTGACCCTCCCCAGCCACCGCTCTCACATCAAGGTCTCATGGATCATTTTCTAGCGTTTTAACTTGACAACTCTAGAGAAGAGTTCTCCTGAGGAAGAAGACATCCCTGGGCTGAGTGAGGGGCTGGTCAGGTGGTCTGGTACTAACTGGAAGAATTGAATGTGTGATTGTGGATGGGATCATGTACTGTCTTGTAGATGTCTGACTCCTTCCCTCTCAGCATCAAGAAAGAAAGAACCTGTCAACTGCTTAGTTCCATCTAGTACAGATGTATTACACTCCTGCCATGTGCAAGGAACATGCTTGCCATAAGAGGCAAAAAAGATGAGTAATGCAAGGTCGTTGCACTTGACAAACCCATATCCTAGTGCTGGGTACATGAATAGTTCCAAAATAATGTAGACAGTGATCAAAGAATTGGGCCCCAGATTCTGTGGGCCCAGGGGAGGACCCCTGAGAGGGTCCAGAACGATTGAGGGAGATGCTGTGTTAAGGAAAAGGAATTAAACAAAATCTCATTGCCATCCAGTTTAATTTTCCTTGGAGGCTGATCAGAGCAGATCCATGGTTGCTTCAATTTAGAATTACAAATGTTTTAAAGCTTTTCTCACTGATTTAACTTAATCTATCCCAACACAGATCATCCTATATTCTTTTCAATGAAGCAACTGTTCTTCTAACTCTATCATATCAATCTGATCTTAATTTTGGAAATATTACTGACTTCCATGTCACCAATGATACCACAGAACTTAGAGGCAATTTTCTTCAAGAAAGAACGATGGACTGTGGTCTGTCTGCTTCCTGTCCCTTAGGTCTCAGAGAGTCTGGTTTTGATTCAGAAACATGTTCTAAAAGAAGGTAGACAGGTTATCATTAGTGAACTAAGACAGATGTTCTCAACCTGTGGGTCGCAACCCCTTTGAGAGTCAAATGACCTTTTCCCAAGGATCACATATCAGATATCCTGCATATTAGATATTTACATTATGGTTCATAACAGCATCAAAATTGCAGTTATGAAATAGCAACAAAAATAGTTGTGTGGTTGGGGGTCACCACAGCATGAGGAACTGTATGAAAGGGTCGCAGCGTTAGGAAGGTTGAGAACCACTGAACTAAGGGATCTATAACATCATCAGACTGATTAAGCCGTCTTCACCCTTTAAGGTGCTGCATGAGAGAAGTGAGTAGTGTTAGAATACTGGGAAAGTTGATTCCAGACTCTATGTTTTCATAAGAAAAGTGGAAAAAATGAGATTAGGTCTGTAAGAGGATGGTTGGAATGTGTTATTGTACCACTGGATCACTAAGGGTGAGGAGAACTAAATTTTGAGTTATTTGTCATATAAAATCAGATCTTCAGAGCATTCTCCTGGTTGAACCTTTCTGGATGTGCAGAATGAAAACAAGAGCTGGAATAAAATGACCTGAATTCAGGTCAAAGTTCTCGATCTAAAAAATACAGAACAAATGTGAAATTGACCAACAAAATGATGAAACAATACCTTCAAAACATTCAAGGGACAACCATTGAACTTGATCACTTGGCTTACAGAATGAGGTTTGTTTATATATACTCTCCACTGTAGTCAGGTCTGTGATCCTGAACTGTTCACTGGACCTGGGGATGCTCTATTTTTTTCTCCATTGATTGGCTATTATCTACAAGAAGACACACTTGCACACAAAAGATACTTACCCTCAGTTCACTTCTGCATGCGTGCCCTGGCTGATGCCTGTATGCATATAAACTGACCACGGAGGGATTCTGCAATGTTCTTTGTGTGTGCTACATATGTCTTCAGAGAAGTGAATAACATTTTCTTTAGCTGTCCCTTGGAAAAGAGGAAACTACCTACTTATGGGTGGGTTTTTTTTATGACAATTCTCAGATTCTAAGCTCTCCTATTAATTTTTTATTTTGTAATTATTTCATAATCATTTAAAAACAGATGGTACATTTTCAGGGTAAGGAGTTTACAAAGTGAGAGGCGTACAGTTAAAAAATAAGTCTTCCTCCAACTTGTGCTATATGAAGTCATGTATATACTATGGTAGTAGAAGAGTTAAGTGCTTAGATTGTTAATCATTTTATAATATAGTTTATAGTTAGTTTCTAATAAACTAAGTTAATACTTTCTCTTGAATAAAAATATACCATTTGGACAAGCAATATTGAACTGAAAATATCTCAATCAGCACTAACTCATCATGTTTTTAGAATCTCATCTAATAAAATCAATTTTGCAATCAGAGAGCAGGGTACGGTGGCATGCACCTGAATCCCAGATACTCTCTGGGCTGATGCAGAGATTGTTTGAACTCGGGAGTTCCGAGCCAGCCTGCACAGCATAACAAGATCCCATTTCAGAAAAATAGAAAGTTGAAAATAAATAGAAGTTAGAAGAGGTTAAGATTTTTATATGTCTTTAAAATCAGACAGAAAATAAAACAGTTTTGTTTATCATAATGTGGTAGACTTGACAATCTGAGGAAAATCTACAGATTGCTTGTAAATCTGTCTCAGCAGTCAGAAAGGAAGAGAAAACATGGACACAGACGAAGGCTTGAGAACACCAAAGAAGCAGAGAGACTGTGCCCAACCCAGCATTGGCTCTGGGACCTGCAGGTACCCAAGGCCACAGACTGGGGGAAGAGTCAGGCACTTGTTGTAAGTGAAGGATGAACCAGGATATCATGAGGAGCTGCTGTCCTCCAGGGACTCTCCATGAGTCCTTTAGAAAAGCCTCACCTTCAGAGATCTCTGGTGGGTGCCTTTCTCTCTTGACATTAACCTTGGGTGGCATGGGGGGAGTCATTCCCTTTGAGAATCCAGTCCCAAATTTATCTCCATGCAGAGTTGGTGCTAGAAATACACAAGCAGCCTGTGTAGAAGCAGGTCACATGACTGCTAGTGTACTATGGACCTATTCTAGGCCCCCTGTTATTGCAACAGCATATAAAATCCACTGTGGATAAGAGACTGGCCAAGCTTTGGGGACTTCCACAATTTCCTGGCAACAGGACTTCCATTGAAATCTCACAAAGACTGAAATCAATAAAGATCCAAAGATCTAGAAGTGACACCAGAACCACAAAGTTTGAAGGAGGTCCATCAAGACTATTTCATAGAAGATGACGGAGTAACAAGGTCACTGTAACTTACAGAGTAAGAGGGGCTTGAGTGCCCATCAGACATGAGACCTTAGAGGCAATGTGCAGTGCCATTACTTACTTAATTAGATGAAAAAGAAAAGAGAATCAAAAGTGTGATTCAAGATCAAAGTGATCATCTAAAATGTTTGACAAAGAAACAAGGGGACTGTGTAGTGATGTATTGTGTCCCCCAATATTGTACACCCTAATAAAGTTTATCTGAGGATCAGAG